TCTTGTTTTTCTCAGCGGTTACCATGTTTCCACAACAGCGCAGCTCCATTTTCTGCATATAAACACACACTCAACCATTCGCCCCGACAGAGGACTAACTCTCCTAACCTCAGCTTTGAAACTCTTTACGGTGCTAATTTACATTAAAAAATCAGTAAATAAAACCAAAACTGTATCAACTCATTGTAAAGCTATTGTACGTATTATGAATTCATTAAAATAGTGGGCCACGCAGGAATCGGTCATAACGAGCCCACACCACTACTAATGTCATTAGTGGATACCCTCAGTTACTGTTTTGGTCAAGTTCAACAGTAGCTATTTTACATCTGTTGTATTGCGTAGTTTACAGTGCAACGCGATACCTCGTATAGAATCTCGGAGAAAGACCCCCCGAAGACATGGAAAAGTAAGAATTTTTTTTTTTACAAACGGTAACATTTACCCGATCTAAACAGGAAAGTTCGCTGAGTTTATTAGCTGTTGTCTCCAATAGGAAGGAGAAGAACTCTTCTTATAGAAAATCGGCTATGAAGTGTAGCTCACATTCGTTTAAAGGCCGTAAAGATATCCCACAGTTATCTGATCTCTATTTCCAACGTAACTCAAAGCAGCATCAGCTGGATTCAAGGTGCGCTTGTCAAGGAAACGAATCTCGTGAATGTCTAGCCCCAGTTCCTCGGCTAAAAGCTCCCACTCGTCTCCACCTACAACGGTAAACGTGCTTCATTAAAAAAAAAGGTTCTTGAGATTGTACATACACGTTCATTATCCTTTGGTTTGAAATTTTTTTCCAAATGTTTTGAAATGCTGCAATAAAAGTTTACCATGAAACTGGTTTATACTTCTAACTAAACTTACTTTACTTAGCAAACTATTTTTCATTATTATTCAATTTATAGAAGGCTATACTAGTTTCTCATCTTACGCAAACAAAAGCAGATCGCAAAGTGAGAGGGCGTAAGTATGAAAGTTTACGAAAGCAAGTGGGAGAGGAACTGATTGAGGGACGGGAGATGAAGAAAGAAC